CCGGAAGTGGCGCTGTAGCTCAAGTGGTAGAGCGCTCGCCTTGAGCTGAAGAGCTGAGGGACAGCGCCCAGGCCCAGAGCTCAAGCCCCACAACCGACAAAAAAAAAAAAAAAAAAAAATCAAAAGGAACATCAATGGTTGATGAACTCTAGAATTAAGGCTATTTTAAGCACTTCTTCCTTTCCTCACCTTTGGGGCTGGGACAGTCACGCTCAAAAACCCTGCTATCTCCTTTCTTTGCCCTAGCTCTCTAGCCATATCCCTCAACTATAAGAAGGAAAGGACATGGAGAAATAGGGCCTTTCTTGGAGAACAAAGCCAGAAGGACATGATCAGAAAATGACTTCTCAAAACAATAGCAAAGCAAGAGGAAGACAACAGGGAAATGTTCTGTTGAATAGTGAGGAAGGGTATGCCAAAGTGCAAATGGCAGGCCCTGTCACTTACTGAGATGGTTGTCTCCCGTGGAAATTTCATTTTTTAAAGGAGACGGAAAGGGGGAAAAAAAATGAAAGAGCAGTAGTAATCCATGGAGGACTCTTGGTGGCAAACCCAGGAGTCAAGAAAGCTGAGCTTAGGACGGAACTGCTATGATTATTTAAAATACTGTGGCCAGTGGCTCCCCTCCAAGACTTCCCCACTGAAAATAATGGCATGGAAGGGAAACTTGGGTCCACTGAGGAGTGAGAGTCAGATCTGAAGCCTCTTTGGTAACAGGAATGCTTTGGGAGGCCACAAAAGTTGGGAGGGTTGGAGGGTGCATAGCACCTTGGCACAAGCAAGCACCAGGCAATCACTCACAGCGACATAACTATGAAGGATGGATGGAAGGAAAGAATACATATTGGTGATAATAAAGACAATCGTATCCTGCCCGTACCCCACCGTCCTCTGGCAGTGTCACTTAGGGTCTCCTCAGTTAACAATGGGGTTATTTCATGCCAAATTTATAATACCTTACTTAAAGAAGCAGAATCAGGGATGGCTAAAAACAAGGCCTTAAAATCCTGGAGATCAAAGGAGTGCCTTGACAAATTTCAATGTGAAGTTAAAAGTTTTAAGCCCTCAAAACTAGGGGAGTTATTCTGGGAGGATAGGTGAGGATGATGACACAGGGCAGGCTGGAAGCCCATACCAGAGACCCTGTCTTCTCCTGGGGAGAGCTAAATGAGGTTGGGACAGCCCCAACAGGTAGGCAGTTGATATTGGCTTTTTAAAAGCTGGGTAACAATCTTTCCATCCCAACCTAATCAAAACAAAGGTCAGCTCATTATCAACATGGTCTAAGAACCAAAGCAAGAAATGCACATTCTTCATCATTGTCATAAAATCCTCCTATCTAAAAAGCAATCAACTCTGAAAAAGAGCAAGACTCTAAGGTGATTAAAAAGTTAAAATTCATCTTGAGGTCACAGGGGAGCAGAAGGAAAAGATTAGGGCAAAGGGCAAAGGAAAACATCGTGGGGATGACACACAGTATGTGAATGCCTGGTCTTCACCGAGATGCGCCGATCATGAATCAGACCATCAGTTATGTTACAAGAGAACCAATCTCAACGTTCTCCCCTGGAGCACAGTGATAAGCACATTTTTTTTTTCTTTTATGGATGTGTTTAGGATAGGAGGGGGTGGGCAGAAGAGAGAGGAGGCAAGGAGGTGAATGTGTTATGTACAAAGAGAAATGACAGAGGCCACCCTTCCTTTAGCTCTTTGCAGATTCTTTCTCTTTGTTTTCCGCGTCCTCAGGATATGCGTGCCACGTCAGTCTTTCTTCATAAAATGCTATCACAATTTGTGGACATTTCACATTAGCTTCTTTTGCGAGAACCAGGTCTGCCTCATCTGTGTCTTTCCTGGAAAGAAGAAAAAGAAACTTAGAAGGAAAGGAAGCAAGAGTGATTAAATCTGTCCATCATGCCACTACTGGGATGTTGTTGACTTGATTTCTTCCTCATGTCATGACTTCAAGGGAAAAGGACCCTAACAGAAATGGAGGTGTCACTCAGTGACAGAGCTAAGGGAGAGCAAGACCCTGCATACAATCCTCAGTATCAATAAACAGACACACACACACACACACACACACACACACACACACACACACACACGCACGCAAGCAAGCAAGCTGGGGGCTGATGGCTCACACCTGTAATCCTAGCTACTCAAGTGGCTGAGATTATAGGATCGTGGTTCAAAGCCAGCCCTGGCAGGAAAGTCCATAAGACTCTTTATCTCCAAAAGTGATGCTGTGGCTCAGAGTGGTAGGACACTAGCCTTGAGCAAAAGAGCTCAGGGACAGTGCTCAGGCCCCAAGTTGAAGCCCTACAACTGAAAAAATAAAAATAAAGGCCCTAACAGGAGAAACTTAAGTAAATAAACTGAATTATGAGTAGCTATCATTTAACTACCGATTCAGACAGGTACAGCAGTCTTTAGAATTTAGGCTCAACCCAAAATGATTAATAAGTTATGTTTATTCTACTGCCATAATTTTATGTGTATATTAGCATGTGACACAAATACAATCAAACCCACATGCAGCTGTACAGTCATGTACAAGTTGATTGACTAAGTTCTGAGTCACCTAAGTGAGGAAGTCCTCTTCTTCCTCACTTTCTGGCCTTTTAAATACTGATTAGTTTCTTTTATCAGAATTGCAATATGAACAATAAGAAAATATAAATGTAGCTGCAAATTTCAATTATCCATATTACACAGCTTTACTATCAAGTATAACAACAACAAAATAATCTTGTAACATGCTTCCTTAACCATGATTACAAATCAAGGAAAAAAAAAAATTAAAATCCTCCTGAGCTTCAACTACCTCCTTTTCTAAGAAAACTGAGTTTCATTTGTAGAGGTAAGTATTATGGTTGAGGGGAGGAAAGGAAAAACAGTCCAGCACACTTAAAGTCTGGAGTATGGTTAAAAAAAAAAAAGCTATTCAATATATGAACATAAATAACCAAAACATGCCTGGGTAGAGGCAAAAGAAGCAATCAATATGGCTGTTTCTCAGAAAGCATGTTGATTCTTCAAATAGAGGCTTCTAGGTAATCTGCCAGCAATATTTTGGTCAGATAAAATGTTAAGCCTTATTGCCTAGCACTTGAGGCCTTGGGTTCCATCCCCAACACCACAAAAACAAACAAAAACCTAGCCTTTCCTTATACAACTTTCAGAGTAATTAGCTTCCTTAGTGGCACTGTAGTTCCAACCCACTTAAAAACAAACAGGTAGTGAGGGCCACACCATAAATCACCCTGTCTTTAAGAAACCCAACTGAGGGGGAAGTACTCCACTTTCCTCTAAGAGCCAGTCTTTCTACCGGATAAAGTAACTTGGGCTTTGACCAGTATCAACCCTAATGCTTCTTATTGGAATTGTTTTTCCCCTGTAGACATCACTCAGTGGTCTTGGCCCACAGTGACCTAAAGCCTCACCTGGCTCCCATCCCACAATCTCAGGCTCATGATCTTACAGTAAATGACGCAGTGCTGTGTAAGCAGACACTTAGGTCATGTTACCCCAAACATACCATTTTCTGACATGTGGGCTATTATACTATAATATGGCTAAATAGCAGAGCTCAAGAATGTAATAAATCTAATCTGCACTATAATTCCCATTTAGGACTGAAGTTGGTATTGATTAGGGTTTTTTTCCTTTGTTTTGGGTTTTTGTTTTTTCCTTGGTCAGTCATGGGGCTTGAACTCTGGGCCTAGGCACTGTCCCTCAGCTCTTCAGCTCAAGGCAAGTGCTTTAGCACTTGAACCACAGCGCCACACTTCCAGTTTTCTAGTGGTTAATTGGAGATTAGTTTCAGACTTTCCTGCCCGGGCTGGCCTTGAACCCTGATCCTCAGATCTCAGACTCCTGAGTAGCTAGGATTACAGATGTGAGCCACTGGGTTCCAGCTTGATTAGGGATCCTTGAAATTCAAAATTCTTTTTTTTTTTTTTTGGGTCCGGTCATGGGCCTGAACTCTGGGCCTGGGAGCTGTCCCTCAGCTCTTCAGCTCAAGGCTAACGCTCTACCACTTGAGCCACAGCGCCACTTCTGGCTTTTTTCTTTTTGCTTTTTTCTTTGTGGTGCTGAGGAATCGAACCCAGGACCTCAGGCATGCAAGGCAAGTGCTCTACCATTGAGCCACCTTCCCAGCCCCTGAAATTCAAAATTCTTAATCTGGGAATTCTCAGGCTTGCCATCCCATCTTCCACATAAATTCAAGTCACTAGCAAAGAAACACAATTGTGAAGTGAGGCCAATTCTCTCACCATTTCATTAGGAACATTAAATCACCACAGGAATCTGTTGCCCCAATGATCTTTTCTGGTTCCAGTCCTCTTTCAAAGCCCCGAGCGATATCATTGCTCTGCTATAAATAGAAGATGAACACAGGTTACAGCTTGGAGGGAGAGTAAAAAACCTGTTTCTCAGCTCAACATGGCACCATGCACATTAGTATCACTTGATATCATTTGTGTGTCACCAATTCAAGAGAATTCTCACAACTTAAGAAAATACAATGGTAGGTCCAGTCAATGGCAGTGATGCTGACGGATAATTTTTGCAAAAGACTCAGGCGTTGTTCTCGGTATTCTCTCCACAAGATCATGACTGACCCTTATCATGACTGACCCTTAAACATCCTTGATATCCTGTGAAACACTCTAGTCATCAGCTAGGAATTCCTCTAAGTCTAAACACTCTGAATCTGAATTTTAAACTGACTACCTCTATCTTATAACTTCTGAGAGGATAAACAAATCCATATTTATTTTTCATTGTCTAAACTTCAAATATATCACCGTCTTTATTTTTGTAAACTTTTAATGTACTAAATGTGTCCAATAATGATAGTATTTCTTTTCACACAGTCATTTACATTATGAATGATCAGAGGTACGAATGATTCAAGGCCAATACTATAAAATGGCAGACTTCAAACATCTGAACATGAATAGGAACCTGGCTGAAGAGTCCTGTCTGCCTAATATGGAGAAGCTGTGAACATTAGAAAGCAAAACTGGACTGTGATTTCAAACTAATTAACTAACAGGTCATGAGTTAAGTGGTGAAATTTGGACTTTGCCAACTATGAGATCTAGACATAAAACATACTTTGATCCAGGCATAATAACACTGGTCAGGACAAAAAGGGCAAAATTGTATCCAAACAAGATAGTTTCTCAAAATCTCATGATAAAAAAGAATGAGGGCTGGGAATATGGCTTGGTGGTAGAATGCTTGCCTAGCATGCATGAAGTCCTGGGTTAGTTTCCTCAGTACCACATAAACAGAAAGATGGAAGCAGTACTGTGGCTCAAGTGGTGGAGTGCTAGCCTTGAGCAAAAAAGAAGTTCAAGGACAGTGCCAGGGCCCTGAGTTCAAGCCCCAGGACTGGCAAAAAAGAAAAAAGATCATGAAACAAAGTAAAGCTGTGGCTCAAAGTAGTAGAGCACTAGCCTGGAGCATAAAAGCTTATGTACAATGCCCAGGCTCTCAGTTCAAGCCTCATAACTGACCAAAAAGAAAAGAAAGGAAAAAGATAATAAAAATGTATTTAGTGGCAACACAAAGGAAATCCGTAGACAGACTACCATAACAGATGAAACCTCTAGTGTCTGATTTCCATAAAATCTCTTTCATCTGATATGCACCCGTCCTTCCTCTGAGAAATACAAAAGCATGAGGGGTCCAGGTGGCCCCCAAAGACACCAGGACATACAATAGGAAGGAAATGCCATGCATGGAACAAGGGGAGATACTGAATTTTAAAAACATAGCTTCTTTTGGGGTGCTTAAGGGGAAGATGTTCCCAGATGTGCACACAGCTGCTCACAGCTGGAATGCTGGCGCATGGACTGAGTAGTAAATCACTGCTGGCGGCTGAAACAGTTTGCCACATAGGAAGGGAAGAAGGGGGAGGGAGGGGAATGGAAGAAAAATGTTCAAGCTGCTGAAAAGGAGCCGAGGCGAGGAAAATGCTAAAATCATCACACAGGCAGTAATCTTAAATCAGGCATAATGCCGACTAACAAATTTCCTCTGCAGTGGTCTAAAGAAAGAAACGCAATCCCCCCTGTACCTTTAAAACATACAATCACCTATCTTCCCAGCTGCCTACCTGACAGCCGCCAGTACTGCTGAGAATGCTATCAGGGGCCCCAGAAGAGCACCATGATGTAAAGGGCACGTGGGAGCTGTTTTCAAGGTCAGCAGCTTCAGAACCTGGCCTAGGAATAAAACTCTGCTCTGGTCAGTGGTATGAAACCACATTACTAAGAAACATCTTTCTTTTGGAAGGACAGAAAGTCTAGGTTGAGGAAATACACATCATTCGTCACAAATACCTACTCAGAAGTCTTATACAATGTTGTTTTTGCTCTCTTAACTGAGCTAGAAAAATGAATCAAATGACAAAAGCCTGCATACAAAGGAATACTAAAAAAGAAAAAAAATTCAAGGCCTACCTCCTCAGAGAAAGCATTCACAAATCCTTTATCAATATAGTATATTACAATGATAAACAGACCTCACCAGAACAGAGTAGTTTTTAAAATAAGGTTGCACAAAAAAAAGAAAGAAAGAAAAGAAAAAAATCTGACTAGGGAAACAAGGAAACATACACAAATTAAAGCTGGGCTCCAGTGGCTCACGCCTAAGATCTGAGGATCACGGTTCAAAGTCAGCCTTGGGCAGGAAAATCCCCAATAAACTACTAAGAAAAGGCTGGAAGTGTGCTGTGGCTCAAGTATAGAACCCTAGCCTTGAGCATAGAGGGGCTCAGGCACATAGCCCAGGCCCAAAGTTTAAGCACCAGGACTGGCAAGAAAAAGAGAGAGAGAGAGAGAGAGAGAGAAAGACCACTTTCACCTTAAGCCTGCGATCTCTCTCATTTTATTTCTTCCTTGTGACTGGCCCTACCTTACTAACATAGCCCCAGGCTTGGTCTTAAAACTCAAGATCATCCACCTCCCAAGTGCTGGGATAACAGATATGTAACACAACCAGCTAAAACCATAAACATATCAGCTGTGGGTGAGACAAGAAGTTTTCCATTTTTTGTTTTGTTTTGTTTTTCCTTACAATGAGGGGATGGATCCCAGGGTCTGTGCACGATAGACAAGTGCTCTACCACTAAACTAAGTGCCGGCCACTGCACTGGAGCTTTGTAAAAACACCCCTGGCTCAGAGGATTCCAATGAGAAGCTAGAGTTAAAAAGTGAATGTTCTAGGAAAACAGGCCTTTGGGTAAAATGAGGCTGAACGGGGGGGTGCCTGTAGCAGTGAAGACGGAAGAGTCTGAAGTGAACCCTTTCTTTTATTATTAAATTCAAGTGCATGATATATCCTTTACCACAAAGACTCCACAACCTTGACATAAATGAAAAGTTAAAGCTGCAAAGTTTCTTACTGCAAAGCATGTGCACACACAGGCACATGAAACATAGATAGAAAAGAGAAGCAGTAACAATATTAGTTACATCAACACTTAAGATCGGAAGGACTAAAGTGAATTAATCAAACCAAATAGTCACAAACTTTCCAAATAGAACCAAAAAAAAGAAAGAGAGAGAGAGAAATTCTTAACTGAAATACATAGCTCAAAGCAAAGTATATAAGTCAGGCAGGAGTGGCTCATACTTGTAATCCTAACCACTCAGGAGGCTGAGTTCTGAGGATCGTGCATTGAAAGGATCCAACAGAAAAGGCTCTAATTAAGCAATAAGAAGCCAGACTGAAGGCATGGCTCAAGCAATAATGACAGTTCTGGATTGAAAAGCCAAGTAAGAGTGTGAGGCCTTGTGTTCAAGCCCTAGTACTGGTGAAATAGAAAGAGGGGTGGGAGTGGGGGGGGGGGGGGG